TGCTTCTGGAAATGATTGCAATGTAAAAATAAAAGCAATCAATAACATCTTTAAAAACCTGGTTAGTTTTTGTTCATTTTTTTAACTTCTTGAAGCATTTTTTTGTACCCTGATTCTATCATATTAAAAATTACCTATTTATTGCTTCCTGCTATATGTAAGTCACAGGTTTGATTTTTTAAACTAATTCATTTTTAAAAATCAATTTATTGAACTGAAATGATTTGAAAGAAAAAAGTTGAACTGAACATGATCCAAGACAGAATCCTGGAGAATTCCATTAGTGACCTCCCTGTAAGTTTTTTGGATCCAGTGGTTCAACCAATTTCAAATCCACCTAACTATTCTATCGTTCATCCTGCATCTTTCTATCTCAAAGAATATTTTAAAAACTTTTATCAAATGCCTCAATGAAATTCAGGCATACTATGTCTACAGCATTCTTTTGAGTTACTAACTTAATAATCCCAATTTGAAAGGGAATCAGGTTAGTCTGACATGACTTGTACTTGATGAAACCATGCTGACTTGTAGTGATCACTGCTTCCTTTATCATATTATTTTATCTGAGTTGATTTACTCTTTTTGAAAGGAGCAGGCCACATTTCTTCCTCGATAGGAATTGTATTTTGGATTATTCTAAGGGAAACAAAGTTAGTCTGATGTGATGTTTCCTTAATGAACCCATGTTGGTTCATGATGATCACCATTTCCCCTTCCAAGTGCTCACAAACCACCCCTTTATGTGTACATTATAGTGTTTCTTCATTATCACACAACCCCTTTAGTCCTAGGTTGTGGCTCTGTCCTTGCCTTCATCTTGTCCTTGCTTGGGGAATTGTCTTTGGTATTATTATTATTATTATGATTACCACCTTAGCACATCTTGCTTTTCATTCAAAAAACAAAGTGATTGCTATTATTAGGGATCTCTGTTCCAAATGTTTATATGGACTATTAGTACCCAACTTGTGGTAGAGTGGTCTGAGCTCATATTGGTTTGATCAGCTACAGTCAGACACACTGTACCTTGACCCCAACAGAGTAATATCATTTTCGTACTCTTCAGGAGTGAAGGACAACAACCATTACTCCTACTAGGGCAGCTAGGAGGCACAGTGGATAAAGTACCAGGTCTGAAGTCGGGAATTCTCATTTCCCTGAGTTCAAATCCTACTTCAGACACTGTTTATGGGACCCTGGGTAAGTCACTTAACCCGGCCTGTCTCAGTTTCCCCATCTGTAAAATGAGCTGGAGAAGGAAATGGCAAACTACTTCAGTATCTTTGCCAAGAAAACCCCAAAAGGGGTCACAAAGAGTTGGCCACAACGGAAACGACTCAACAACAGCAACAACTACTAGGGTCTATTACTACTAGAGATAATAGATAGATATCTAATCTCAAAGTCAGGAATACCTGAGTTCAAATCCCACCTGTGATACACATTGGCTATGTAATACTGAATAAATCTCAGTGCCCCAGGCAGCAAGCACCCTAAGACTATGAGTTATAAATAAAGTGCCAATCTGCCTTTGGGGGAGGGAGCTCCTGGGGCCTATGAACTCATAGATCCAGTCCCCATCCCTGACCTGCCAGATACAAGGCTCTGTTCTTGATGCTGAGGGAGCCTACTTGGTGCTCTTATGGCATTTAGAATTTACTGGAAGAGATTAGACATGGGAACATAACATCTTATAGGTTTCAGAAAGTTTAAGTGACTGCCCATCCCTCCTCCCCCCAATTCATAAAGCCAGTTAGTGGCAGAGCAAGGAGTAGAAAAGAATGCAGGTCTCTATTTCTAATTGAAGAGAGTTCTTTCATTCAACCCATTATTTTTTCCAAGGGAAGTTTCTCCTATTGCTAATATTCATTTTTCTTCCTTATACTATTTCCCCTGTCATATGCACCTGTGCCGTATTGAAAGGGAAAAAAAAACCCTCTCTTTCTGATTTACACCTTTCAAATATTTGTGGACTGTTAGGCTTTGAATTTTTTTTTTTTGTCACTTAGCCAAGTTACACATTTTTGCTCTTTTAATCTTTCCTCTTAAGTAAATGTCTTCTTTCTCTTAATCACTTTGGACTTGGTTCAATTTGCCTTGAGAGAAACTTGCTTCTACTTTTTTTCCTTCTCTTAGTTGATTTAACTGCCCCTCCAAACAAATCTAACAACACATCATTTTGACCAGTCCCAGTAAAGCAGCAGAGAAGTATAGCACTGTACCTCCTTACTGTGTTTTTCCTAATGCTGTAGTAAAAAATGTTGATACTCTTACTTACCTATTTTATAACCTTAAATGGCTCCCCATTGCCTAACAAAATGCAAATTCTTGAACCTGGCATTCAATTTCAACCTGTCTTTTAAGTCTTTTCTCATAAGCTTCCTTTTCATTTATTCTGCAATTCACCTCAAAGAGGACTATTGACTGAACAAGTAAAGTCAGTTCATAGAGACACAGATTTTGAGAATTTGAAAATACCTCTGTGACCATCTATACCCAGCCAGAGCTGCCAGTGAATACAATACTCCATATGTAGTCTGATCAGGGCTAAATACATGAGATGATCCCCTCCTTACTCAATTCAATTCAATTCAATAATCTTATAGTAAAACTTAAAACTCAAAAGCTTGTGGAAGTTATTGTTGATAAATCAAAATAAATGAATAAAAAAAGAAAGAAATAATCTTTTAGTAAGTTCCTAAGGAAAAGGACCTATCCTAGGCATCAAGGATATAAGAGTGAAAAACTAGAGTTCCTGGTCTCAGGGAGCTTTGTGCTTAGTACTGGATGTACAAAATATCCTGAAATAACACATACTGTTCACTTTTGGGCAGGTCAAACAAGATGTCCCAAAGGCTTTTCAAACTCAGCATGTTCAAAATAGTAAACAGCTCATTATATTTCTCCTACACCCTCCCCTATTCCCAACTTTGGTATTATTGTTAAGGGTATTGTCTTCCTTCCCACCCCTTTAATCTAGAATAATACCTTGCATATATGGTTTTTGTTTTTCCCCACAGTTTCCCTTATTGTAGAAATTTGATTACATCTTGGTTTAACCAGGAGGGACATGAATTTGAATCTAGCTTCTGATGCTTATCGGCTGTGGGATCCCTGGCAAGTCACTTGGTTTTCAGATCGGAGTAATAATACTTGTATGACCTATCTCACAGCATCAGTGCTGTAAACTGCTTTGTTAACCTTATAGGCACTGTCTAAGGGAGAGTTTTTATTAATGGGCTTAGATTCTCAATAGATCCTTATGTAATGAATGATTTGCTAATGGGACAAGAACCTAGGCAACATGTTACTAATAGTGGGAATTTGAGGTCAGGGAGGAGGAGGAAAGGTAACATTGGCAAGTCAGTGGGTGACCTATTTTGGGGCTGGTGGGATTTTTAGGCATCTCTCTAATCATATTATCATTAGGGCCTGCATGCTTTTAGCACTTGCCCCTCCTTTGGGGATAGTCCCTCCTACCACCAGCATCTACTCCTGGTACTGCTGCATGACCTGTTTGCACATCCTTTTCCAAGACCTTTCCCTTCCCCAAGATCATGAAATCATGGCATTTATCCCCACCCTTTATATAAACAAAAACCATCACTTTGGGTAGAGTGGACCTCATGAGTAGGCAGAATAGGTGGCTGCCTACACAACTGGGTCAGAGTCTGTGTTGGGCAGGGCCTTCTCCAACGAATAATGCAACAACTCATAATTACATAGCATTTTACAGTTTATAAAGTGATTTCTTCACAGCAAACCTGTGTTGTCAGTAATATAAGTATTTTGGCAGCCATTTTACAAATGCCTAAAGCAGTCTCAGGAAACTGATGTGATTTGCTCAAAGTTACATAATCAGTAAGTGCTGGAGATAATATTTGAAATCCAGGTGTCTTGATTTCATATCCAACACTATTTCCATGAGCCATTCAGACTTATTTCCTATTAGTCTGCCATTTTGATTTCATGTCTTTTGAGTTGGCATTCTGTACAGTCTCCTTCCATATAATCTCAGAAGAATGGCTTCAGAAAAGTCAGATAGCCCTGGGATGGGTCCTCAGAAATGAATGCCTTCATTAGCAATGGAACACCTTAGAAGAGATTAGTTGGTAGCAGCCTGAGAGCATGGACATGTTCTGAAAGACCTTATGGGGAGGGAAGTAGTGGGCCTGGAGGAAGAAAGGCCACTGATAAGGGAGGCATGACTTTGGTTGGCACATTCTGTGTGTGTGTGTGTGTGTGTGTGTGTGTGTGGTGTCTTTGTATGTATGTGTGTATATGTGTATGTATATAGGTATGTTTGTATGTATATTTGTATGTGTTTATGCTTGTGTGTGTATAGATATGTGATTTCCTTGGTGTAAAGAACTCCCAATGAAGAATATCACTACACCAATGCAAATCAGCCCATTTTCTACAATTACAAGTCTTAGAAGACTGAACCACTGAAAGGTAAAGGGACTTTTGACCAACGCCATACAGCCAATATGTGTAAGAGATGGAACTTGTTTTAGGGTCTCCCTGACTAGGGGCCAAGATCTCATTCCTCTAGGGTAAATCTCCACTTTTGTCTTCCCCATACTATAGTGCCTGGCACACAGTAGGTGCTTAATAAATGTTTATTGACTCTTATCCCATTGAGCTGGGACTACCTAAGAGAATCTCAGGACTGCCCTAGGGAAACTGAGGCCTTGTTTACCCTTCTCTTAGGCAACTAGGTGACACAGTAGGTAAGAATGCTAGACTTGGAGTCAAGAAGACCTGAGTTCAAATCTAACCTCAGACACTTACAAATTGTGCGTCTCTGGGCAAGTCATTTAACCTCTGTCTGCCTCAGTTTCCTCAACTATAAAATGGGGACAATAATAGCATCTACTTCCCGTGGTTGTTATGAGGATCAGATAAGAGAATATTTCAGAAGTGCTTACCACAGTGCTTGGCATATGGTAGATGCTTAATAAATGTTGTTTCTTTCTTTTTTTTCTTTCCTCCAGATGTCTCTCATCTTCACTGTTGGTGATAATCTCAAGGAATACTTTGTCAAGCATTTATGGTATTCAGTCTCTTGAGTAATTGAGTAGTTTGAGACCACAAATTTCCTTAATAACTTAAAAATTATTTAATAACAAAACTTAAAATTATGTCAGTTGGCAATTCTGATCAATACAATGATCCGTGACAATTGCAAAGGACTCATGATGAAAAACATTGTCTCCTTCTGGAGACAGAACCAATAAACTCTGAGCTCAGATTGAAGCTTATTTTTTTCTCTTACTTTATTTTTCTTTTTTCCCCCCAAACATGGCTAATGTGGAAACATGTTTTGCATGACTGCATTCATATAATGGGTATCATATTCCTTACTTTCTCAGTGGGTGGAGGAGGGGTGGAGGGTGGGAGGAATTTGAAACTGAAACAAAATAAAATGTTAAAGAGTTAAGTCACAGGGGCGACTAATGTGGTTTTTTTTTTCCTGAAATTGTTCTATATTTCTGATCTATTTTTTATTTTATTTTCTTTTTTTCCCTCAATTGTATTTTTTTTTGGAGGAGGGGTTGGAAGGCCTTTCTTTGTTTCTACTGTTGCCTTAGAACATTTGGTGACATATTCCACCCCACCCCCTCCTCGTCTGGTTTGCATAAAACCTCAGAGTGGCCTACAATAGTGTTCTTGGTTTTATTCATTTTTACCTTCCCTGTTTTTCCCCCACCCAGGGCTTCCCCTGTAAGGACAGGAACAAACATCACAAGGCGTCACAAACATGACAAGAAGGCAAGGAAGGGTTGTGTGCCATGTGATTGATAGTACTAATACTAATAACCTTTCATATTTATTCTCATTTTAAAGTTTGCAAAGTGCAACAACCTTGAAGCCATCCTGTGAATTTAGTAGTACTAGTATTACAAACATGTCCATTTTGCAGAAGATGAAAATGGAAGCTGGGGAGAATGACTCACCCTTGATTCCACAGCTAGGAAGTGTCTGAGGCTGGATTAGAATCCAGCTCTACTAACTTCCAGTCTAGAGATCTATACGGATTGATAAACTGATCTCTACTGATGATCTATGCTGATTCTTACATGGCCCAATCCTAGATCCACTGAGGTATCCAAGAAGAACCTACAACCAAGATTATTTCTCCAAAGCCAAACAATGTCATCATTTTAAACGGACCCTTTTAACAGCTCTTTTGGCAGGGGGTTGGGGGAGGGGATGAAGAAGAAGAACCTTCTTCTGACTTCTTAAAACAGGAAGTATAGCAGTCTGGAAAGGTTCTCAGGAGATGCTGCTGGAAAGCTTTAAGAAGATACCTCAGAGGGGAAAATAAAGGAAAAGGGCGGGAACTCATCCCAAAACACTCAGGATTTTAAGAGAAGCTGCCAAGGATGCTTAAATAGCAGTCATGGAGATGTCAGGTCTAAAGCTTTATTTAGGGAGAGACAAACAATTGTGAATTAGGAGTTAATTGCTTTTTGGAAATGCTAAAACCCTTTGATGAGGAGAGAGCTTGCTGATCGTACAAATTAGCAGTTTCTTTCACCTGCTTCGTGCTTTTGGAATCCTGATAATAGAGGTAAAGAGGGATTGGCTGTTTTGCACCACCCGGGAGAGCCCCTGCTCCAGCTAGGCTTGGAATGAGGAAGGCCAGTAGTCACTAGGAAGAGGTGTGAGAGCCCTCAGAAAAACAGACAACTTGGAGAGCAGTGTATTTTTCCAGTTGCTTTCCAGGTTGTTTTATCCTTGAGAATTCCTCTGTCTGTGTCCTGTAAATTCCTGTGTCTTCACTCCCTACCTCTGGATTTCACATCTATAAGTGAAGGCCGGTCAAGGTCAAAATCATCCCTAGGGAGTATGGGTGGTACCAATTGTATGTACTATAGCACCCTCTTCCTTCCATATATTCCTTTTTTTTTTTTTAAACAGGTAAAGTCAGGTTCAGTAGAAGGGAGTGAGGTTAAAAAGGGAGATTGGAAGGGAAAACGTTTTCATGAAAGGGCAGAGCAAGGAGCTGATAGAGAAGAGAGAGGGCAGTGGGGGAGGGGCTAGAGCTTTGTCTTGCCTAGGGAAGTTGCGATTACGTTTGAGGTTTTTGTGAACAAATTCTGTTTCCGTGAGGCGTGGGTTTTCTGAGTCACAAATTGTCCAGTCATCCCTTCTGGATGACATACAGGGGTGTGCTGGAGCCAGTACCACCACCACTACTAGCTAGGTGGCATTTATATGGTGCCTACTATGTGCCAATATGATCTCATTTGATTCTCACAACAACCCTGGGAGGTCAGTGTTATTATTATCCACATTTTAAGTTGAGAAACTGAGACAGACAGAGTGACTTGCCTGGTGTGACCCAGCTAATAAATAGCTGAGGCTGGCTTTGAATTCAGGCCTTTCTGACTCCAGCTCAATGCTCTATCCACTGTGCCATGCAGCTGGGTAACTTTACCAGCCGGAGGCAGGCCTTTCCATCTCTCTACTCAACCTTTACCGCCTGTTCTGTAAAATGAGGAGACTGAACTAGGTGATATTTGGGGGTTTTCTTCTATTATCTTCTAGGCCTAACGTTCTGGGATCCTCAGTGCTAAATTGTGTGCTCTCCTTAACTTCTGCCTACACTGAACTTTGACCGATCCATTCACTTGATGTTGCCTTCTTTTCTTTGGCTTTATTTACCTATTTGACAATTCCCACTTATGTACAAACAGACAACTCAGGCATAGGGAGGCTTTTGACTTATACCGTTGTAAGACGCTTTTCCCAATGTACATAAAAGTTAGGCCTGCCGGTGAAAACTCTTAAGTGCTGCAGGAGTTCAAAGTGAAGTGAGATCAATGAGGACAGAAATACTCTTCCTAGTATCCCCTTGCTCCTTATTCCAAAACTTTCACTAGCTTACCACTGCCCTATGGAATAAAGTTTACCTTCTTGACTCAGGTATTCAAAACCCTCCACAATCTGGCTCCACCTACTTGTCCAGCCTTCTTTTTCAAACTTCTCCTCATCATATATTTTCCATTCTAACCAATATCTTGATTCCCTGTTCTCATCCTGCCCAGTTCTGTTTCAATGGCTTTGCTCACACCAGCCCCCATTTTGGGACTGGAGACCTCTCTCCCTACTCCCTTTCCTCCATCTTTGACTATTTCAATCCCTCCCTTTCTTCAAGGCAGGCCCTACTCAGGTGACACCTCCTATATGAAACATTCCTTAGCTTCCTTATAATTCCCCTACTACACACGTAAACGCCATCTCTCCTTCAAATTTCTCAGCACTTCGGTTTTCTTAGATCTTGCCATGTTCTAGCTCATTAGTGTACGCTTCATGCCATCCCTACCCATCTCCCCACTCACTCTCTGCTGCATTGCAACTCCCTCCCCAGGGCAAGGACTGTGTTATTTATCACTTCTGCACCCCATTGCCTAGAGCAATACCTTTTTACATACTGTGGTGGATCTATGATCTAACTGATGCAGGTCCTCCCTTCCAAGGTGCAGGTCACAATCCACCCATGCATTCTCATCCTATGACACCCTTGTCCATATCTTCCTGCATGTCTGCAAACAGAGTCCACTCACTATGCTAACTCCCTTGCCATTTCATGGACACCAGTGGAGTATGTGGGCCAGCTGTCACTTCTTTCTTGCTCTTGCTGTGGGACTGGCTCACACCCTTCTCTCATCACATAGGCATGATAATGTGTGGGGCTATATCTCTTGGGCAATTTTTCTTTGGGAAAATGCTATAGCCTATTCATGTACCCCTCCAATGCCCTTTGTTTAACATGCAACTTTTAATCTTCAGAGACTATGGTATTCCATGACTTACAGTCAAATAGCCGTAACTGGAAGAATATTTATGTTTAAGGAAAAAGTGGGCCTTCGCTTAAGGTAGATCCATGGGACCACTGAGAACCCTGTGTTATTTTCAGAATGTAATCCACTTCACTCTCCTTCTCCTCTCTAATTCTGGGTACAGTTCGTTGTCTGTCCATGGCATTTGTCTAAGATGTGTGCCCTTGTGAACTAACTCTATGGGATGACCTCCCACATGTATATCATAGTTTGGATGATTGACCTTCTTGGTTTCCTTTTTCCTCTGTAAACAGTGAGGTTGAAATCTTTCAAGTGATTAGAGGTTTCATTGAGGAGGCTCTGCAATGTCCCAGCTAGGTGCCCCAGGGGATAGAATTTTAGATAGCTGGTTGGGAAGACATGAATTAGAATCCTTCCTCAGTTACTTAGTAATTGTGTGACCTTGGGCATGTCAATAATTTCTCTAGGCCTCAATTTCCAAATGAGGATTGAACTCAATAGTCTCTCAGGTCCCTTTGAATTCTAAATCTATGATTTTATGACTAGTCAGCACAGTGTTGCTCTCAAACAGAGGATTCTTTTTTTGTTTTATTATTCTTTAAATTTTTTGGGGGGTGAGGCAATTGGGGTTAAGTGACTAGCCCAGGGTCACACAGCTAAGTAAATATTAAGTGTCTGAGGCTGCATTTGAACTCAGGTCCTCCTGACTCCAGGGCCAGTGCTCTATCATCTGTGCTACCTAACTACCCTGTTTTATTCTTAATATCTTTTATTTTCCCCCAATCACGTTAAAAACAATTTTTAACGTTTTTAAAAAGTTTTGAGTCCCAAATTCTATCCCTTTCTCTCCCAGCACCCACCCTGAGGGTAAACAATCTGATGTAAGTTATACGTGTAAAACATTTCCATATTAGTCATTTTTTAGGAGACTTGAGTAAAAGAAAAAAGAATGAACGTGAAAAGCATCATGCTTCAGTCTGTATTCAGACAGTATCAGTTCTTTCTCTGGGGGCAGATAGCGCGCTTCTTCTTGAGTCCTTTGGGATTGTTTTGATTGTTGTATTGAGGAGCACAGCTAAGTCATTCACGGTTCTTCACTGCACGATGTTGCTGTTGCTGTGTACAGTGTTCTCCTGGTTCTGCTCGCTTCATTTGGCATCAGTTCATGTAAATCTTTCCAGTTTTTTCTGAAGTCATCCTGCTCATTATTTCTTATAACTCAATAATATTCTACCACAATCATATACCATGGTTTATTCAGCCATTCCCCA